TTGTACCATTTTACAGTCCCACCAGCAGTGTATGAGAGTCCCAATCTCTCCACAACCTCTCCAGCATTTGTTATTTTCTGTCTTGTTGAACTTTGATACTAGTGCTGAAGCAAGATGGTATCTCATTGTTGTTTTGATTTGCATATGGGTGAGGGCCTCTTGAATGTGAGCTTCAGCTCTGCCTCTTGCTCCTGACTCACTGGAGCTGGAGGTGTCTCTTAACTCAGGGAGTTGCTGGCTGTGGAGGCTGACAAACCCAAGGTCAATATGTAAAATGACACAGTCCCAAGATTATCAAGCAACACGGCAGCCCACTAACTAGTTCAAGTCCAGAAACAGTCCCAAGATGGGCAAGCAACATGGCAGGTTGCTGAATGAAGACTCAGCTAAATGCAGGGCATAAGTGCACCAAAAAAGCTCAAGATCTATCTCAAAACATCTTTGTATATACTGCAAGCAGACCACACCTCTTAAGGCAACTACTCAGCTGCTAACAGTAGATTCCTCCCTGGAGTTGATTACCAGTCTCATCATGGGGAATCACTACACCCAGTTGCCCAGCCACTCTAAACCAGGCCCCATGCAAGTTGATGCATAATATTAATTACTATGCCCACCTACTTGGAATAGTTATTTCACAGATTTTCTAAAATCATTATTAAACTTTTCATTTATCATGAACATGCCTATATTATGATGTGTAAATCCTGCAATATATCTATTTTATCTTTTTTTTAAATAAAACTTATGCTGATTGGATATAAAGGTTTAAGTTATTCATATCTCTAAATTGATACTGTACTTCTTTGTTTATTTCTTAGACAGACTTTGGAATTCACAATCTTAAGGGTACTGTACAAGGATAGCAACAAATATCAGAGGTTATATATTGAGGCCAAACCTGTATAATTTTTTTTCTCAATTCTTTCTTAACTGTGGCTCTGTGTGTGTGTGTGTGTGTGTGTGTATTTATCTACCTATGTATCTATCTATCTACCTATCTATCTATCTATCTATGCATGAAGGTCCCAAAGGAGCTAACAAGCTTCCTTAGCAAGTGTTGACCCTGCTCAATGCTTACACATTAGAAAAGCTCTAAACAGCCTCTTTCTATCTAGGTAGGATTATCAATATCAGCTCTGGCACTGACATGCTCTTTTAAGTAACTGGTAATAATTACCTCTTTCCAAGAGCTCCACAGATTTCTCAGGTTTGATGAATGGTATTCAGACTAGATCAATAGCAGGATTCCCTTACACTCCATCATAGTCTGCCCTTCTGACTAGATTCTCATTTTCAACAGGGAACAGTGTCATGTTGGATCCTTTTACTACAAACCTTTGTGGCTGGATATACTGTCCAGATAGCTCTTTCTCCCACATTCTTAGAGTCTTGAAAATTCAGCTACACCAAATTACAACCTGCTCTGGAGCAGAGATGCAGAACATTGCAAGCTTCCAGAGACAATGATAGTACTTGTCTATAAAAATGAAAATATAGTTAAATAGCTTGGTATCATGACATTTCAATATATTTCTTTTATAAATTAGAAAAATAAGGTCTGCTAAAGACAAAACACCCAATCAGACCCCAAAGAACAGTAATGCACAGCTTTTTCAAGCCAGTATTCTCAAATAATGTAGTAGAACTATATGCAAAAGAAAACAAATCTTGGCTCAAACATTGGCAAGTTGTATGCTCTGTATCTCAATTTCCCAGTACACAAAAGACCTTCTCTTAAATACTGTTTGTGGGGATTAAATGAGGTACTGGAAGTCAAAGTACTTTTGTAAAATGCTGATTCATAATAAATTTTTCTTAATTTCTAAATAAAGACTTCTTAATTAAAATCTGGAACTATTAACCAGATTGCCTGATTCTGAGAATTATTTCCTTTCCATGATATTTCAATGAATCCCCAGGCATATTTATTTTCAACTTATATCTCAAATTTCTTTTTCTCTTTCTTTCCTGTCTTTTTTGCATTAATCAAA